CTTTCATCTTCCTGAAATTGAAAAAAAAGTAACTAATTAGTGGGCAGCTTTTTTTCAAAACATTTTTGAAATTATTGGATCGTCTGTACTTGTTGGTGGATTGATATCTGCAGTGCTTTGAAACGCTGTAAATTATTGTAAAAATAAGTATATCAGTAAACATTACCATCACATTTGATATGTGCAATATGCAATCTGGCAATAATAACTTGTTTATGATTTTCACTTCAAACAACAATATACTATTAAAAACAAACTTAAAAATTTACAGGTGATGATGGCTTTCCTCAGTGGTACACTGTTCTGATTGAAGGAGAAACTTTTATGCAGTATTTTACCAACTTGCTGAAAGCAAAGATTTTACCCAAGTCTCTGGAAGAGTCTGGTGGTTGGAGAGATGTATATGAACAACTGATGAAGTGGAGGGCAGTGAAACAGGGACAACTGTCCACTTTACAGGTTTTAAATTATTATTATTATTTAACAGTGCTAGTAGTAGTAATAATAGTATTGGTAATAAATAGTCAATAGTACAAAATAGTACAAAATATGTAGATATTTCATGCATATAGAAGTCAACTTTGAAGTTTTCTGTTAATCTGTAGGCATATGAGTTAACTTTCTTGCAGTTTGGATATTTTTACTTACATTAAAATGCCAGTTTTCCTCTTTTCTCAGTTTCTCATCCATGTTGCTTTGGAAACAACTCTGGGAATTCTCGCTCTACAGTGGGGAGATCTGGAAGTGGCGAGTGGGCATTTCTTAAAAGTATTATCTGGTGCCTATGAGTTAGGCCATGTAGACATAATGATAGAGCTGTGCAGAATGCTGTTTCCTCAAGGAAAGCTTACAGTGGGAGGTGAGTTTTCTTCACTTAAAGAAATAGCTGAAATCTTTATAATATTTTATCTGAGTCTCCTACATGTACAGGGGCGGATTTAGGCAGTCCTCTGGGTCTTCCAGTTTACACTGATGGGCATCTAATTTTTTCTGTCGGAAGAAGGTCAGAAATGGAGGATGGGTCAACAAAGATAATTTGGAAGATTGTCAGAAAATAGCTCTGTATTCGCCCCTGATGTAGGTCATTGTGCTGTTTTAATCAAAATTTGTCTTTAATGACTGAGATAGTTAAGCCTGAAGCAAATCCAGTGTGACCATAATAAAAATTCTATTAGATTTGATAGACTTTTATTACCATGAAGAAACAAAGTCCATGGGAATTTATGGTTTGCATGTATATTTTATTAAGGTGAACTACATTATTTAAATATCACAAGTACAACCATATAGTTTATGAAGTATATTAAGAATAATTTATAAAAGTGTCATCCTTATGCGAGAAAAATCTTTTTATTAACTCAAAATTGAGCTCAGAGTTATTCATAGTTTTATAAGAATATGTTGTAATTTTCAGGGGTGAGGGTCACTCAACCAAAGTCAAACACTAACACTTCTCTTAAAGAGATGGTTCAGTCAGCCCTGGACAGAGGAGACATTGATATTACAGCCAGCAGACAGGCAAAGAATATCTCCCCAGAGCTCTTCCATACAAGCAGGCAAGAGTGCAGTACACAAGACTGTCTTAATGCTTACATTGCCTTGTCCTTTCTCCTTGATGTGTGGTGGAAAAATGCTGCGAACTGCACTGCCAGGAATTTAGTGTCTGGACATGTAGAAAACAGGGAATTGGACACTGTTTATGCATCTTCTTTCCCCGATAACAAAAATTTCAGTCAAAATGTTGAAGAGGAAGAGCCAGCAAGATCTGAAAATGGGGATATTTTAAACCAAGTCAGTGCTATTGATGAAACTGGGTTATCTGTTAATTATACAGAAGGTGACAGGGAGTCAATTTCATCTAGTCTTCAATGTAGTGCAAAAGCAGAGTGCAATAACAGTTTTTCAGTACAAAATTCAGATCACTTAGCTCCTCTTGATGGCAAGGTTTTGCAAGAACTTTGTCAAGCTTTATTGTGGGATGTTCATGCAGCTAGAAACAAATATAGTTACCTTTTGATGGAGATTGAAAAAACATTGGCCAAAAATACTTATGGAAAAAAGGACAATCAAGATATGACGACAGATTTACACAAAGAAGGCTCCGAGTTGGAAGGTGCAGAAAGTGTTGAATGTGCTGAAAATAACAGAACTATGAGAACAGAAACCTGCAATGTTGTTACCAGAAGTGAATTGGAGATAATTGATGATGAAGGGAATATGCATCCCTCTGGTAGTGATGCTGAGACCATTATAAATGGTACTGATGAGAAAGATGGACCTAAGTGTGTTAGGTGTGACAGGATTGATTGTGTTGGATGTGATCATGACGCAGCCAAAGCAACTGATAACATTAGTTCAAAAGCAATTGAGATGTGTTTACCAGAACCGGGCATTGAAGAACACTTAGTAAAAGATGATCAAATTCATGGAATAGATGGAAGTAAGGCAAACTCTGCAAATGGAGGAATGGTGGACACAGTCCAGTCGGAAGAGAAAGAACTGAAAAAGATGTTGGAAAGATTGCCTGCTCTTCCTAAGGTAAAGGGACCTTTAAACGGTTTCATGTCAAAGGTTCATTTTCTCCATCCAAAATAATAAGCAAAGTTTTGAAAAGGATAAAATTGTAAGCAATGCTATATATAATACTTACATAATTCTAATGTGATATTATAATGTAGTTGGGATTTTTATAGAAACCGTTTTAATAATATTATGCAGTCATAAATTCAGTTGTTCATTATTTTTATTAATAATCCTGTTACATTTTTTTTTTTGTTAATAATTTTTCATTCTAGACCAAACTTTAAAAAAACTTTCCTCTGTAGAACAAGATAGAGCATACCAACTCTTTTGATTTTAATGTTGTTTTGATATGATAAATTATTTTTAGAGAAATATATCAACTGTTTATTTCATTTCCAGAATCTGACATTCCCAGACCCAGTTGAATCTGCCTTGATCATCTCCTATATGCTGAAACACCAATACAGCTCACAACCCAATGAGAGGACTGCTGTCATTGGCTGGGCTAAGCAGTATGCTGTTACAACAGAAACAGTGAACCTTCTGGATAAATTGTTGTGACAAGCCACAGAGATTGTGCACAAAGAATTTTAGAGCAGGAAATTTCAGTTTCGGTCTTGAGCAGTTTTGTTGCCTGATTTATGAAAAAAAAAAAATAAAAACAGGTAGAAAACCTCTAATGTTGAGTTCAGAATGACTTAAAGTTGACATTTAGATGATATTGAAAGACTTGCAACTTATCCAAAATAATAAAAAAATCATCATATGTACATAGTGTATTGTCCCTTTGCTTCAATCCATGTTTCAAAGCATATGCCTCGTATTTTGTCCCTATATAGGCCCGTATCCAACCGTTTTGAAAAAGTGGACCTTTTTACTTTTTACCATGAAACCTTCATGCCACAAGATCAATTTTTACCCAGAGTGGACCTTTACCTGGCAAAGGGTGTGGTTTGTTCAACCCCCCCACCCCCCCCCCCACAAATCACCCTGGCTACGAGCCTGCTATATTATTAATCCAAATTTGATAACACTGTGCCTGCCTTCTTGTGGCCACTGTGCCACCACACCTGGATTACACAGAATTTGTCTGTAAGAATAATTGAAATAATAGTAAATTTTTGTGTGGCACACTTGTTAAAATCTGGATATGCCTTACAAATTAAAAAATACATGTAGCGGGTCATAGCGTGGGAGACACTTTCATACTGCAAAATAAAACTTCCTTGATTGTCAGTCGTCTGTGTCTTTGCACAAAACGGCAGGATGTTGTTGCTGATGCTTTGATTTATAAATGACCACTTCAGCCTTTTTTTGTATTTTTGCCAATATTAACCATGTTAATTGTAAGACTGGATAAGATTGAAGAAACAATTTTTGAATAAATGGTATTTTTCTTTTGACTACGGGTATAAATCGTGCAGCGTAAACCCTTCCAAAAAAAGATAAATACTGCTCACTGTAAATAGCTTTATTCAAAATTCAAAGAATTTGAAAGAAGAAGCAATTTTCCTTTAATTACCAATTTACCTTATAAGATGCATAACCGTCTAAAAACGTTTTCAGGCTCTCATAATTTCTATTTTTAACCCTTACATCACGTTAAAATATGGGTTTGGGGATTTTTGCAGCTATTTTAGATAGAGTAAAACTCGATGATTAAGGGAGAATTACTGAATTTTCCGATTTCCCGGAGGAATATTATATATATATATTGTATTTTATGAAAGAATTAAGACAATTATAATAGTTTTGCAATACCTTTCCAGGGGCGGATCTAGGAATATTTGAAGGGGGAGTCTGCGGATGCGAATTCGACCCTCCCAATTTTGGTATTTTAGAGGACGAACGGTGCCATTTGGTACTGTTTAGAAGTATGATTTAGCTAGTCAAAATTCTTATTACAAGAGGGGACCATTAGTGTGATTTTTTTTTCAGAAATCGAAAGGACCCCCTGACCCCCCTCTAATTCCGCCATTGCTTTCCCTTAGTGTCAATGTCAAGTTCGTTTTTCAGTAGGTCAAAACTCAAACGCACTTTCCTTCAGGATCGGTGCGTATCTTGAATTGCAACGTTTTTACATAAATGAATTACATTGTAGTACGTTGAAAAGTTATCAGCATGGTATGTTTCAGTCAAAGAATGCTAACCATTCCCTACACTTGCTTTATTTTGATATGAAATAATAATGACAAATTTAAATATAAAAGTAAAAATAAAGACAAACTACTTCTTTGACTGCAAAAAAAAATTTTTTTTAATCTTTTAATCCAATTTTTTTATTTTTAAAATACTCTTTGTATTTTGAAATGAATCTAAAATTTATTTCATTTAATCGTTTACCTATTTTGGGTGGGATCGTTAACTAGATAGGTAACTTGATCGAGCACAATCTCCAAGCGCTCAACGCAATGGGATCTTGGAGGCGCGGCCTTTTCAATCGACCTTGAACTCTGACGTCATTTATTGGCATGGCGGCCATCAGCTGAGAGTCAACCGGAAAAACACACTAGTAAAGCAGCGCACCAAGGATTACCAGCGTTAGTAGTAAAACTTTATTTAAAAGAAATGGATTCAGGAAGGGGTGTGCCACTTGGTGTACAAAAGACAACTAGTAGACTAACCGATTTATCGTTAAAAAACGGAGTCGATGGACCATCTAATGCCTCGGCGTTGAGCGTCAACAAGGCTGCCGAAATGAACATGAATCAGTTCAGTGAAACCACGTTGCCACAGTCTTCTTGTAAAAAAGGACAACACGTTGAGCGCATTGGCCCTCATGGTAAAAAGACATCAGTATACCAGGTGTGCTTTCTGGGCCGATCGGTGTTGGACAAACGGTACACGCAAAACATGTTGCCATGGATCATGGCCGAGATGAAACGCCACTGTCACCGCCACGGCGAAATGAGAATGGTCAATTTACACCTCGATCTCCACCTGCACACTCTACGGGCAGCCGCAGTTGGGCAACATAGCGAGGAAGACGACTGCCTGTTTGAACACAAGTTACAGAATATCACCAGGTTTGCCCGGGCGCATTCGGACCATACCGTGTTCGCCTATCTGATGAGGACCAGTGCAGACAAGCCATTTACTTGCTACGTTTTTCAAGCCCTTGAAGAACACTTGGTAAGTATTTTAAACAACTTATGAATATTTCTATAATAGATTGTTATAAGATAATATAAAACATTAGATCGTTTATATAAAGTGTGAAAATCTTAAAGATCTTTAAAACAAAGATCTACATAAAGGGGGTGGGGTTCTTACTAAAGAGCTGAATTCCATATTGTTATTACTTACTTTTATTTAGTATCGATGAAAACCAAAAGTGGCGATTATGTCTAGTGATTGCACTATAAGTTGGATTTCAACATCCACTTAAACTTGAGATAGATATCAGAGATGGAAAATAATAAAATACTAGTATGTTCATTTATCATATGCTGTTATGACTGACTACCTGTTTAGTCTAGGTTACCTTATGCAACATTTGCCTGTATTTCACTCTGAATGTTCAAGCTGTAATATATATTGTTTAGATAGCAAGAGACAAATCATGCTCTTATTTTAGTTGAAACTGCCAGTTGGGTTAACTTGAAGAATAAGATTTAATTGTTATTTAATCCTGCCTGGGTCTAAATATTTTATTTTCCTTTTTCTAAATAGATCCAAATCTCATCATCTAGTCTAAACATTCCACAAATATTATACACCTGTATAGGCAAGGAGACGTCCATCTCTTACTAAAATCTAGTTTTCCTCAACAAAGTGCCTGCTGAATAAGCCTTGAGTTAGTGAAATCACTCTCTCTCTGTCCCCACATATAAGGACAAAAGGAGTGACGTTAAAATGATTTAGATTTACAGGCTGATTGTGGTCACTGTAGTCCCCATATCAGTGGCATCTAAATGGATTTAAAGATGCACAAATCATGTACTTAGTGCAGCAATGCCAGTGACATGTCAGCTTGGCTGAAGATGGATAGAAAGTGTTTAGTAAAACATTTATCAATAGAATATGCAAGATCAAAGAGAGATATTAGCTTTGTGAGGAAGGCTGGGGAATTTCAAATTAGTTTTGGGTGTTTTTTTTTTCATATATCAGTCATGCCCATGAGCATGACAACTGCTGAGCTGACTGGGGAATTTTTTTTTTTTACTAAAGTCTCTCTCTCTCTCTCTCTCTCTCTCTCTCTCTCTCTCTCTCTTTCTCTCTCTCTATATATATATATATATATAATATTGATACTGAACATGAAGTCATTGACTCGAATTTTATGGTATAATGATATATCCTGAATAAACAAAGTCTCAGGTTAGGTTAAGCCTGTTGATGTAAGGTTTGTCTTCAATAGGTCAGTAAATACCAAATCTTAAGCTTTCAAGTGTAACATGTCAGCCAGTATAACTGTATCTCAGTGGCTAAAGCTAAGGTCATCAAACACTTGTGGTGTGACCCTTTAAATAGCCTCCTCCCCCTGTGTACTCTTGTGGATACAGTGCTAGATAAATACATATAGGTAATAAATACAGGTAATGGCCTACATTTTCATGCCCATTGGCCTTAATGATAAAGGTGTATTCCAAGTGCATGGAAATAAACAAGAAGTTGATGTGCTCAGTAGTCAATGTATTTGGAGTCAGTGTCACGTCATATGTGAAAAGAATTGAGGTTAATCTGGTGAAACGGCAGCAACATTTGACACATGAGGCTCCTTTTCCCAAAATGATAACATACNCAGTATATCCTGAATAAACAAAGTCTCAGGTTAGGTTAAGCCTGTTGATGTAAGGTTTGCCTTCAATAGGTCAGTAAATACCAGATCTTAAGCTTTCAAGTGTAACATGTCAGCCAGTATAACTGTATCTCAGTGGCTAAAGCTAAGGTCATCAAACACTTGTGGTGTGACCCTTTAAATAGCCTCCTCCCCCTGTGTACTCTTGTGGATACAGTGCTAGATAAATACATATAGGTAATAAATACAGGTAATGGCCTACATTTTCATGCCCATTGGCCTTAATGATAAAGGTGTATTCCAAGTGCATGGAAATAAACAAGAAGTTGATGTGCTCAGTAGTCAATGTATTTGGAGTCAGTGTCACATCATATGTAAAAAGAATTGAGGTTAATCTGGTGAAATGGCAGCAACATTTGACACATGAGGCTCCTTTTCCCAAAATGATAACATACAAGGCTAGTTAAGTGTTATTTGTTACTAATGATATGTCATTAAAATTATCTGAACAAATTCAAGATTCACCTTCCTAGTTTTCATATGTATTATTATCTTTCTAAGCTGGTAAAAGCTTAGCTGAATAAAACTTGTGTACTGTAGTAACTTAGTACAATTATATAGCTGAGGTGTACTGCCATGGAAATATTGCATATAAATTCACAGGAAATTCCCGAAATAAAGACCCCGGGTTAATTAAGCAATTTACTTGTCAGTTGTGTTTCTAGTCAGTTTAGGATGGCCTGTATCAGTATGGCCTATCTGCAAGGGTCATAAGATTATTGAATAGCAAAACATATGCAGCAGATCTAATCACACTGTTTTCCAACCCTCTGCCTCTGAAAAGGGAATAACCATGCCATTAAAATGACATCTTATGGTCAGCTTTAATATATTTAATCAGGTGGCAACTGATTGAGATGGCTCTTAGAAAGGTAAACGTGACCTGAGAAAAGTTGACATTATTATATCATTTGTAAGAACTTGTTTTCTTTTCTTAGAACTTATTTATTTGTTTGTTTTTTTGATTTTGTAAGTTGTAAGTGTGCAGGATGTCTTCTCTCCCAGAGGTCAAATTTAAGCAATATTTTTTTACATTATCCTTGGTAGAAAATAATCTAAACAAAGTATTAGTTTTTTTCACCTGGGGATTGTCTTCTGAAGTTTTTCGCTGCTGTTGTTTATGTTGTAGGGATCTTTAGTGTCTGTCTATTGAAACACACCCAGTGCACTTCTGCATTTTGTTTTTCAGTTATTCTCAGTCTTAATGACCTATTGACACTTTAATTGATATTAAAATGGCAAGGATATACCACAAATGGTGCTTACTGTATGTGGTTGAGTGACCATTTTACTGTAACATCCATGGTGGAGTCTTGCTGAGTGATGCACTCTTCTGGGTGATGGGGATTTTTTCTAAGAAGCTGGGGGATGAGAGGTGATCACACTGAGCCAACATGAGTGTGTGGAGAGAAGTACTAGTAGACTCCAACTCCTGGCAGTATGTACTGTTATGTGAAGAGATTTGTGCTTGTACTGTGAAGAAACTTGTGTTTGATTGTGATTGACATTTTCCCCATTTGCACTGAAAGAAAGCTTTCTGCTTAGAACGTTTTCGCTATCAGCACACACAAGTAAAATTTTCTCCATGTCAGGAAAAAAAAACTGAAAAAAAACCAGCAATAATGGCAACATTTCCTCAAGAGACAAAAATCTTTACAAGGTAATTGTCACAAGTGAACTTTCCGTAGGAGAAAAGTTTCCCTGTAAGGCACACTTTACGTTTCTTCTGTCTCCAAGGTGTCTCCCAACTACCCTGAGCTCTCCTATGGGCTCTCTCCCACTTTCAGCTATCTGGCATGTTAAGTTCTGTATATGTTCTGACTTGTTTCACTCTATCTGTCATATTATCGTAGAAATCTGTCTACATTGATATGAAGGTGCCTCATGTTTTGTATTGAATTATTTTTGTCTTTTTCATCTTGAAAACAAACACTGACTCATTCGAAACAACTTGCAGATGTCATTCTGTATACCAAAATCAAAATACTGCGTCATTAAGTTAATAAGAATTCAAGCTTTTCATTATGGAATTCATTCTTTTACATGTCTTTTGGGTTGTTTTTATATTTCAGTCATGAAAGTTCCTAGAAACAGTGGCTTTCAGATAATTGACCACAGAAAAACACCTGGGGCCTCTTTCACAATAGTACTTGAGCCTGGTTGTAACTTTTAAACCAAGAGTTGGTCTATTTTCATCCAAGATAGAACAGTTATTGCAGGCCCATAGCCAGCAATTTCAAAAGAGGGTCCTTTTTCAGAAAAAATGGACCTTTTACCATAAAACCTTCCTGTACTTAGGTAAAGTATTTTCCAGAGGGGACCTTTTCCCAACAAAAGGGGGTTCTTTCTAACCCCCCCCCTCTGCACCCGGCCCCTGGCAACATTGTGTCTGTTTTACATTTGGCAATACAACGTTTATGTTGCATACCCGTAGTTATTTTAGTTTAAACATGGATCACTATCTTGAACTAATTAAGAAGACGGAATTTTAAAGCAAAAGCTTAAAAGTTTAGACCAGTTTTCATTCTGGCGGATAAACCTGCCCTTGAAGGATGTTAACAAGTGGAACTGATAGGTCAAAATGTTGAGGGTGTACTAGTACTTATGTAAGGCAGGAGAGGTACACCCAGCACATCCCATGGAGGAAAAGTGAAAGGTTTGTTATGGTTCAGGTTCCCCTTTCTCCATGCACATTGCATGCAGGTGGACCATGCATGCATAATAACAAATACCAGTACTTGTTGAACCAATAGATTTACTGCCGTCTTGTAATACAGTCTAACCAGCAAAGCATACCCATTCAAGTGTGAAAAAGGGCGAGACACCAACTTGTGCAGTGATATGGAGTGCATACAACATAGCACACAGCAGGCAAAATTGTCACAGTACAGAACTATTTTATACGGGTGATTGGCCAGTTAATGGGGCATTCCGTGGTATTTGTTTTGCATTACGGACGGAATTTTGACACTTTAAAAATAAATTCTACAAGAACTATAATACATNAGAAAAGTGAAAGGTCTGTTATGGTTCAGGTTCCCCTTTCTCCATTTACACATTGCATGCAGGTGGACCATGCATGCATAATAACAAATACCAGCACTTGATAAACTAGTAGATGATTTACTGCCATCTTGTAATACATTCTAACCAGCAAAGCGTACCCACTCAAGTGTGAAAAAGGGCGAGACACCAACTTATGGAGTGCATACAACATAGCACACAGCATGCAAGTACAGAACTATTTTATACGAGTGATTGGCCAGTTAATACACCATTTGATTCTTTAAAAAAAAAAAAAACATATCAACCCACCCATGGTGAATAAATA